ACCAGCAGTTAGCGTAATGGCTATGTCGCTGGACTCCCATGTAGTCGACCGCGGTTTGTGTCCCGGACACGGTGGCTTAAAACTCACGCTGGGCGCATGTGCGTGCATGCCCAAGATCCCGAGAGGAGAATGGAGGAGAAGGGATTGCGGCGTGACCATCCCCCCTGGGGGATGATTTCTCGCTTTCTGTCTCTATGTCTCTCTCTGTCTGTCTGGCGAGTGCACGCACCCTACAGTGAAAATCTCTCCAAAAAAAAAAGAAAAAGAAAAAAAAACAAAAGAAAGAAAAAATTTTAAAAAATACATTAATAACTCAATAAATGCAAATTGGCTATCTGGCAATTAAGATAGAGATTGCTATACTGGACCAACAACAAAATCTAGCTTCTTGCTCTTATATGACACATACCTGGAACATAAATGTACAGAAAGTGGGGCCAGCAGGTGGTGTGGTGGCTGAGGCACATGGCCAACTGCAGTTCGAATCCCAGACCTGGGAGCTTGTGTTCTGACTTTCCCTTTCTTTCTCTCTCTGGTGAGCACATGAGCTCTATAGCAAATTAAAAATAATAAATAAATAAATAATTCTTTTTAAAAGTGTACAGAATGTGTGAAAGAAGAGTATGGGAAAAGATACAGCAAATATATAATAAGAAAATAAAGTTAGTGTAGCTATATCAATATTAGACAACATGGATTATAGATACAAAGTATTACTAGAGATAAGGAGTACTGGGGAACCAGCAGTTAGCGTAATGGCTATGTCGCTGGATTCCCATGTAGTCGACTGCGGTTCGCATCCCGGACCCAGTGGCTTAGAACTCACGCCAGGCACGTGTGCGTGCATGCCCAAGATCCCAAGAGGAGAATGGAGGAGAAGGGATTGCGGCGTGACCATCCCCCCGGGGGGTGATTTCTCGCTTTCTGTCTCTATGTCTCTCTCTGTCTGTCTGGCGAGCACATGCGTCCTATAGCGAAAACCTCTCCAAAAAAATAATAATAATAAGAGATAAGGAGTATTATTCCATAATAATAAAATTAATAATTCTTTTTAAAAATATTTATTCATTAATTTATTTTAACTTGATCAGAGAGAGACACAGAGAGAGAGAGAGGGAAAGTGAGAAAGAAAGCCACCACTTCAAGGACTTGAACTGCAGTTGGCCATGTGGGAGTGTCCAGGGCCTTAACTACCACGTGACATGCTGGTCCCAAAATTAAGGGACCAGCAGGAAAAAGGAACCTATTTTAACATGTAGGCACCTCTGGACTCAATTCTTTCGGAAATGACTACAATTCTAAATATGTAAATTAATAAAGCAAATTTATAAAGCAAACATGTCACAAATACAAAGACAAATTGATGAATGCATCATTTTTTTTTTATGAAAGAGAGAGGAGAGAGAGGCAGATAGAGAGACAGAGACAGGCATTTTTTGGCAGGCTCTCTGCAGCACCACAATTTCAGGCATGCATGTCTGTGCCTGGGAGGTTTCAGCTAGCCTGGGAACCAAGCTCAGACCTTCCACGCAAGCTCAGACCTTCCACGCAGCCTCCAGCCTCCCGCATCCCACGGAGGGGTACTACCTGTGCATCTCTGCAGCTGGGCCGTAATGCACAATCTTGATATGGGCTTTTAAATTTAAATTTTATTTCTTATTTACATTAATCATCACACATCTCTGTAGCACACAATATAATTTCCCCAAATATGCGTGCAGTGATAGGGGATTTTAATACATCTCTCTTAGTAATGAATAGTTCAAAAAGGCAAAAAGTTAATAAGATATAGAAGAAATGGAGCCAGCAGGTGGCATAGTAGTTGAGGTGCTGGACTCCCACATGGTCAACAGTGATTTGAGTACCACACCTGGTGACTTGCTTTCTCATTTTCCCTCTCTCTCTGTCTTTCTGCAAGTTAATAACGATAAATAAAATTAAATAAATTCTTTTTGTAAAAGACACAGAAGGCATAAGTAACCGATCAATAACTTAGTTTAATAGCTCTACTTAGACCCTGGCAACCAACATGAGAGGCATGCCCACTCTTTAGAAGCAAACGTGAAACAGTTTCAAGATTATATTACTTACTGAGCCACAAAGCAAGTCTCAGGAAAATTCTAAAAATTCAACTTCGCATACAACATTCTCTGGATATAAGGCAAAACGTGAAAACAAATTGATCACTTCTAAAAAGGATTCACATTGGGAAATTTAAAAGTACTTTTAAAAAATCCTATGGCTGGAAAAGCAATCATAATGAAAATCAGAAAAACTTTTAAAGTTGCAGCCATTTCCAAACACAGGAGGTGGCAGCTCTGCTTGCCTTCGGAGAAAACTGGCTGATTCACTTGGGCAAGCTAGTCCACCAAAAGGCAATTCGCAGGATGACCAGAAAACCAAAAGTCAAATGTGATGAAAGCTGAACCACTGAATATTGATTTACTGAACAACCAACTTGAGTTGCTGAGAATTTTTTTTTAATGTGTTCCATCTCTACTCCTGTATTGTCCTCATCCAGAGCCAGCCAACTCATAGCCCGATTCAGGACAGTTCACACCATTTTGAAACACAAACACAAGGACTGGGGTAGATGCCCATAGAGTGCAGAAGTGCAGCTAACACTTGGGGATAGTGGGTGGCAGGAGGCTTCTCCATAACATGGAGAACAGCTCCTTCAGAAATCTGATGTTGGCGAACTGCTTTTGGTGACCCAGAGTTTGAGAATGGGTGGGCGTGAAGCCCAGCCAGGAGGCAGAAGCTTGAGTCCAGAGGTGCCTACATGTTAAAATAGGTTCCTTTTTCCTGGCTGGAGGTATTTCTTCTTTTACAGTTTTTCAACTATAGGGATGCAGTGACCAAGAGGGAGGGTTGTGGGATGGATCTGGGAGAGGGAAGACGGTACTTAGAGAGAGCTGACCTCAGAAAGAAGATAGGACACCAGACCCAAAGCACAGGCAAGGACTTACCCCTGGGGCCCTGAGATAAGGTGCGGAGCTGTAAACAGGCCAGTCTTGTGTCAGAGGTGTCCTGGGGTTCTAAGGAGAGGCTTTGCCCAGGTGTGAGATGGACAGGGAGGGAAGCCAGGCCTAGGGTGTCAGTATCATTCTCAGCGTTCTGGGGGGCTCCTGGACACAAGGCAGAGAGCACTTGGAGGCCAGTGCTGCCCCAGAACAAATACTGGGCCCTCCGGACTGGAGGTTCCCATTCTTGCAACATTCCGGAGGAAAATGGGCAGGCGTCAGGCCTGGATCAGAAGGAGCATCCTCTCCGCGGGACGCCTGCTCCCTCTGCAGCTCCAAGCTTCTGTCTTGCAGGGCACAGTTAACCTCACAGGCTCCACAAGGAAGCCAGGCGCTTTGTGCTCAGCGGGAGGCCTCTCTCCAAGAAGTGCACCAGATCTTAACTCCGGAGGTGCAGGAGGAGGTGGAGAATGAGGTGGGGTGGGGGGCTCTTCATTCACCCATCACACATGTATTTGATCCCTACTATGTGAAATTACTGGATTACCACCATTGACGAAACAGATTGCAGTCACACAAAACATAATGACACACAGGTCAACGCTGTGGTAAGGAGGAAAGGGGGTGACAGATCTTAAGATGTGCAGAAGTCTGGCAGCCTCTCCCGCACCCCACGCCTGCTCAGCGGGGGGGGGGGGAGAGGGGGGAAGCACCACACCAGGTCCGGTTTACTGCGACCTCTGGGAGAGACAAGTCCCTTTTCACTCGATCATGTCCGCCTGGCATCTGCACAGGACGCGCTCAGTAAATGCCGGCTGCCAGAATGAACGAATGGCAGGGACACCTGCAAGCTGGACCGGAACCCGGCCGCGTAGCCCTGCAGAGTGGTTCTGGCGGATCTGACTGGGCCCCGCAGCTG